GACTATTCATTAAAACCATCATTTCTGCTGATAAACTAACTGTTGATATTTTCAAAATATCCTGATTTATATAATAATATTTCAAAAGATATGACTATGTAATAAAYATTTTAAATAGTTTATGYRGTGMTAATTTTAAAYCTGGGAGTGCTAAGCACCCCCAAGCACCCCCCTATGTGCGCCTATGGTCTAATGTGGGGTTGATCACCTCCTCCAGGTTGTCTGAAGTCTCTCCGACTGCGAGTAAAGCTAGATCATCTGCAAAACCGAATTATAATACCTAATATGCGTTCATATACAAATCGCCGTTCGTGTATATCCGGTGGCTTTTTSGACTCGGCAATTGCTCGATGAATGATGATGTTGAGGTTGCGTACTTAACATATTAAACACGAGGTTATTTTTGATGTTTTTGACGTAGTTGTTTGTTTCATCAACAAGGTTTTATGATTTCGAAAAATTAGCAACAATTTTCCACCTATAATACCTACCGATATACCGTAGACGTTTTGAAAATTTCGTGATCATGTTTTTAGCCCTCCCACCATAGAAAGATATTGAGGAACTGTACTGTTCAAAACCGTATAATATTATTTAAGTACCTATAGGTACAACTGCAGTCTATAATATAATAATTTACGTGAAGTAAAAAAATATAACCAAATTGTATAGATTATGATGCAACTTTTAGTGATGTTTAAACTTAAACCATATGGGTACATATTAATATATTATAAGTATTAAAACTGTATAAATATTAAATATTAAAAAAATCCAATATAAAAATCTTCCCTTTAAAACTACCCATTTTCCTAACAATCAAATACATTTAAATAAAAATAGATAAAATAATAATTTATGAATCTGGATATTTTATTGAGAAAATACATGCAATAAAAATTCGAGCTCTATTAATAAATAAATATATAAATATTATATAATAATTATTATTATTTATCATATTGTCATCGGAACCACCACACCTATATCGTCCGTAACTACTCAATCAGTACATAATATAATCATGTATATAATAATTATGCTTGAGTTTGATGTACCACAAATTTTTAACTTTTTTATTGTGCGTATATGCAATTCAACTTGCATTTTTTTAAATAGTAACACCTACTTGGAATGGAATATTGGAATTGTAAAAATCAAAGAAAATCGATACGACACCTATTGATCATTCGGTTATGCATGATTAAGCACCATATATTATGTGTTTTTCCATACGATTGAGCATAAAATATTTTATACACAACGTTACACCTCATTCAAACCAATATTTTTTAATTATTATTTTCACGTTATATGTATTACACTGCAGATTACTATAACATCGAACTTACACTGAGTGATGTACAGCTGACAGAATGAGCAAAGCACAGCTTTATCGACATAATTTTCGTTTTATAATACACTCGCAATAAAAGAATAAATATTAGTTATAACAACCACGGTATATAATAACAATGACTTTTATTTAAACGCGAGATTTTATATACGACGTATTATATACTTTTGTACATTATTACATGAAGTATTCAGATTCATYGTAAATTACGGACGAGTATAGGCAGTATAGCTGTAACGTAAAAATAGGTTAGAGTATATATGAGAGGCTATTTACCTAAATATATGTGTCACAATAACACTACCGCGTACCAGAGGCTCCAACTTAATTAAAATCAAGAAAAAAATTAATCTTCTTTTCCTTCGCCTTCTCTCCAAACTATTTGAGGTCGACCACACTGGTCCTCAATTTCCACTTACTACGATCCTTAGCATCCTCTTCTCAAATACCAGTCATTCTCATATCGAGCATATCATCAAACCATCTATTTTTCGGTTTTCCTCTTCCTCTTTTCCATCCACACTCCTGTTCTTTGTCACTGAAAAATTAATATAATCTATTTAAAATATTTTATTTTAATACATTTTAATTAAATTTTTTCTCCATATTATTTTCGTTAAATAATTAAATAATTATAATTATTTATTATTATACTTATTTTACAATTTTTTTAATATGCCACATGTTAATAT